TGATATGTAGAACTATCTTTAGTCCTCTTGTTAAAGGACGGTTTGGCGTGAAGAGACAGTTCTCCGAACATTAGAACGCGCATTCTAATGTGTTATTATGGTTTTTTCCTCTCTTCTTCTTTTGTTATTGTTTGGTATTTTAGATTTTTCCAAAATTCTTCTTTCGCTCTGCATGTATTTTTGTATATATACTACTTCTTTTCCTTTTGTCATTCACTCTTGAAAATGATCTAAGTTGTAATCGAAAGCTCGAGTGTTTAAATAAATTCAGAAGAATTTTATTATGAATTCATAGCAGTATTATACTTTATATTTAAAACTATATTTCAAATACGTCTAGATTGGATTCCGTTCTATAAGATAAAATGATTAAAATATTCCCAATTGCATCATTGCGAACATACAAGCAAAGTAAGTTGACGCTACCTTTATAGCTTAAACTGTAATCTTAACCAGTATTTCTTTTGTTTAGTATTCCCAACACCAACAGAAACCACAATGTATGTAACAGAAGCAACTAGTTTAAATGACAGTAATACAAATGGTATGGCTGGCTTTTTGTGTTTTTTTGAAGTGAACGTATTTAATTTCTAGAGAAAGAAGAAAGTCTCTTCCTCACATCACAATCATGTTAAATTTCTTTCGAATGTGTATGTGTTTTATAGTACTTTATTTCTTTTCTTGGTTTTTTAGATCGTAGCGCCGGTAGTTCGAAAAGAAAACGACTAGTCGACAGTCAAATATTTGATGAATTACCACTTGAAAAAGCTAATGAATTAGAGTTATCAATAATTCATACAGAGTCTGTATTCATCTTTTTTTTGTGAAGCTAATAGAAATGTCTTTGAAAATAGAGAATCGATTTCAGTTTTGTTTGTCAGAAAATGCTTGATCTACCTATCCTCTTCTCCTTCTTTTGACTTCTGGGATTCTCGCCTTTCCTATCACATCCGCCATCTTGAATTTTTTTAAGTGCTGAAAGGTGCTAGAAAGTGCTATGCATAAAAAGTCCTTTTTCCCCTTTGCAAATTACACACGTTCATGTTTAGGGAAGAAGCGATTGGACACTTGGAACGGTTTCCTCGTTAGACAAAAATCAACAAGTTGAAATTGTAAAAGTTTTCTAATATGTTCTTCATATTCTTGCTCGACAAACATTAGAAATTGATCAGGTTTTAAACAAAAAATATCATGTGGCAAAGTGCCAGAAGTAGAACTTGATGTAGTCATAAAAGAAATTCTAGAAGAGGAAGAGAATCCCAGAAGTCAAAAAAAGGAGAAGAGGAAAGGTAGATCAAGCATTTTCTGACAAACAAAACTGAAATCGATTCTCTATTTTCAAAGACATTTCTCTTAACTTCACAAAAAAAAAGATGAATACAGACTCTGTATGAAACAAGTAATTGAAATCCAGCAAGAACAAAAAAAAATTTGAAAAAAAAAGTGATTTAGGACAGATTCAAACATCTTACCCTCCACCATCTTGAATATTAAGAAGCACAAACTCTCACACTTGGCTATCTTATAGTGTTTAGCACTTTTCGGCACTTACAGCACTTTTTTCAACACTAGTGCTGCTTTTCCCCCCTTGAAAATAAGCCTGTTCGTGCAGGTCTCAGATCTTCTCTGATACTTGATATGAAATCAGCATAAACAACTGTCTATATGATGTATTTTTTGACGAATATTAATTGAGTTAAGGTACTCCAAATTCAAAGATCGAGCAGTATTTTATTTTTGGCTTATTTATACTTCATTTGATGGAGAATTGTACGCTGATCACGAATATCTTACTTTGAATTTTTTCAGTGCACATTTTCGACGAAAAAAATCGAAAAATTGGAAGCTATCGCTTTTTATAAAAATCACAACTTTTTGAAAATTTCGTAATATCTCAGCTCCACAAGGGTCTACGACCTTCGAAACGTGTTTTCCAGAATCA